GATTAATCCGACTCAAATCGTGGAGGGATTGTCTGAGAATTTCCAAAACAAGTGGTATTTAGTAGAACTGTTCCACTACTGAAGTTATGACCAACAAGAGTTCCAAATGTGACAAATATTTAATATAAATAAAAACAATGTTAAAATCAGAGGTTTTTATAGTACATAGGCATTTGGACATAGTAATTAATGTTTGCCGCCTCCTAAGATAGACCATTCAGTTTGATTGGCTGGTAGGGAGAAGCGGTAAGAAAAACAGGATAGAAAAAAACTAGAAACTTTGAGACAACCCGCCCTGATTGGGGCACTTTGTATATCTAAATACACTATTGATTTTAATTTCACAAGTGGAATAGTCACATGAATATCTATGTAATTGACCCATTCTTGTACAGAAACTTCTTAGCTCGGATCCAATTCAGTTTGGAAGATTTTTCTGGAACGCCGGGCTCGTGAAACATCATACTGACTCTTCAACACTAATAAGCTATTTTCAGAAATATTAACTTTCTCTTTTATTTTCAAGACGTCAATTTCAAATTCATTAAGAAAGATGGTTACACCCAAATTCCCTATCGACACCGCACTTCATGTCAGGAAACAAAGCATACGTGAAAGTGCCGAGTTAAAAATGCGTTTGTACCATGGAATGTAGGAAAACTGTAGTTAAACTAAATTAGAAGTAATTTTCAATGGCTGCTGCTGGTGGTGGTGGTGCTGCTGGTGGTGGTGCTGCTGGTGGTGCTGCTGCTGGTGGTGCTGCTGCTGGTGGTGCTGCTGCTGGTGGTGGTGGTGGTGGTGGTTAATGAAATATATTAATGTTAAAGTAGTAACAAGATAAAGCTGTGCAAGTGTACCGTTTATTGCGAATCTTCACTAACCCACTGGAAGGGATGACGCTATAGTTTGTTAAATTACTAGAACACTAAAAGGTATAGCGCATTTTCATGATGGTTTCTCTGCAATGTGATCTAAAAATCGCTGAGGCTTCAGGTTCAAAATTGAGGTAAAGCGTGAATGGCTGCACTAACCCACAGGGCATCGGGAGAGGTTTCTGTCGAAGGCTATAGCAGCCTCGAGGAGCTGCAGTACTGCCTTCCTGCATCATAGGACGGAGACGGGCCAGAAACGGACCGCAAGCAGACCTCCATCTCTTCTGTGTTCAAGCAAAACGGATCAGTCCGACTCGGTGAGATTGGTCACTCCTGCGAAACTAAATAATCCGAAATTAGAAATATTCGTGTTAAAATGCCGCTCAGAAATTGAAATCCTACAGAAGTAAGAAATTTACAGATTATATGATGTGGTATGAAAGTGAGAAACAGCTTTTTGCTTTCGGTAGTACTTATACACACCTTAAATCGTCTAGGGCTAAGTTTTCCATTTTAATTCTTGCAAGAGAGGTATAAACCACAAAGAAATGTTAAAAGTTAAGGTTGCTGTAGAATATATTTTAAAGTTCCACCCACATTCACTACTTTTAAAACTGAAATAGAAGTAGTAATTAATGATATTTCCTTGAATGTATTCTCCCCCACAGTTTTAGAAACATTTAAGATTTTTTTTTACTGTTCACGAAATGTAAGATGTGCCAAAGCACCCTATTATTATTATTATTATTATTATTATTATTATTATTATTATTATTATTATTATTATTTATTATTATTATTATTGCTCTTAATAAAGTTAATGGTAGAATTATATCGATAGGAGCCTTGAAGGGTGGGCTCTTGAGACTGAGTTATTATCAAAGACGCGTGTCTGCCCAGTTTAGAAGCAGTGAGAAGTCACTGTCTCCTGGCCATTTATTTTAGTGTCCTTGTCTAAAAGAAGTTAGGATCATTATAAATGAATTTAATCGTAATGGTCTGGTAGTGCTTCGTATAGCGACAAGTTTCCAAAATCAACTTACCAGCAAACGTCAATAAATATTAGTTAAGATTGAAACGTATTATACTTTTCAATGTAACACACCCGTAATTATAAATTATGATAGGATTCAAAATTATTGAATTGGATTCCCAGAAATAAGTAGAAATTAAATTAAGATTTATTTCGCTTAGTTAAAGATTGGATATATCAGAGACAAATGATTGAATTGTTTCGCCATTATTGATTTAATAAAAACATTAATGAGTATGTGATAGCGATTCAGAATTTTAACGTAATTCCATTTCAAATATTAAGATGTTTAGTTTTCTTGTGAAATTAAATGACTGTTGTAGAATGCAGGTCTTTAATCTTTTTGTTTCAGAAAGCGCGCAGGAGCAGCTTTGCATCATGCGGCGAAGATGTACGAAAGGAACGAAACTGAAAATGTAGAATTTGTATTAAGCGTGTATTTTAACATTGTATAAAAAATTAGTTGCAGGTTTTGAAATGCCAAACTCATCTTGCTAATTTTAATGCGATAGTTTTGAGTAAATGGACTTCGTTAAGAATGTTATTTTAAGAAATTTACGCTAAAAAATGTTCGAAACGTATGAACGTAAAGTAACTGGAAACAAAGTAGAAGCGTTAAGAAATCTGCAACTTCTCTAAACCAATATTTATGTACCTGGTGAAATAGTTTGGTTTTTAAAATTATTTAAGAGAAGTTTCAAAATGAAAAAAATTGTTTAGATTTTTGTGGTAAATTTTGATTTGTAAAAGATTTTGTGCTTGAATTGAACGGAAGTTGTGTAAGAGCATTGTAAAATGGTTTAAGATATTACGATGTAATTTTGTATTACAATCTGGTGGGAAAATATAAGTCCCTAACCATACGGAAACGTTAATTACTTATTTTTGCAAAAAAATTCCCAAATACTATCTCCCTAAAGGTATTCGTATAACAATGTTCCTGACATCCTACATTTAAGTAAAATATATGGTTTTCTGACTCTGACGTATGCCTTTTACTTTCAAGTTCCTGGGAACGTTAATTTAAATTACAAAATTGTGTGAATTTGCAATTGATAAATTAATATAAATTTAGAATTGACTTCTGAATTTAAATGTTTAATATTCGGTCCTACAAAAAAACCAAAAATTTGAACGATTCAAACAGGAATGTAAAACATGAAGGTTAATAGTATTTTAATGGACGTAGTAGTATGGCAAATTCAGTATTTGAGGTATAAATTAAACGTAAATAAATCACATAAAATTACATGTAATATTCACGTTAAATAAAAATCAAAGTTGAATTATCAACTAACATGTGAGAACGTAATTTGTGTTCTAAAAATTTCAATCATTAAAAGTTACAAAATGTCGTAATAAAAGGGTAGATTATTGGACTGCGATGTTTCGTTGAGAAATGATTAGGAAACGAAAATTCAATAGATCAAATCATTATCGAAGAATAATTTACATTACCGGCAACGCACGTCGTAGATTAACAAGGTATATTGTATGGAACGGCAAAAGAGTTCATAAAGTTTTCTATTTTTTCCTGCCAGGCGCGTTACTTAACGCGCGTCAACGCAACTTTCATGAACAGGGATCTAATACATAATTTACGCCGTGAAGCATTCTTTTTCAAAAGTTGCCGAAACCCATTTTTCAAGTTTTTGTTTTACCGTCAAGAAATTTAAAAAAACGT